GAGGAACTGCCCATGGGAAACAACTGGAGTCTCTGTTTGACATAATCAGGAAGGCAAGTATGCTATGGATTCTTTTGAAAACAATCGCATTCTACGTAAGACATAAAGACAATGTTGAACATTGGACAGCTCTCCCAAAATGAATAAAACATTTTACCTCTGCACAATTAGATTTATATCACTCTGGAACAGACATAACTGCCAAATAAAAGTAAGTAGTGAAGACAACCATATTCAAGGTTGGCTAGAATGTTGATCTACTCAGACACTGCGAAATCCACACTAGTTTCAAGTTTCATTTGAGTTTTGCTTGTTTTGAACAAAGGTATGGCCCCCACAGTCCCAGACAATTTGTTTATAATGGTGACAACAATGTAACACTCTCCAGTGTGTCACGGAAATACATGACATAAGAATTTGAATGCAAACATATGAAAACCTCACACACCCCCACAAAGCCCTCAGGTGGTTGTTAATTTTTGGTGCTGTGTAATTAAACTAGTTTTTTTAAATGTTATCTTTTGCCAGTATCTAATTAGCAGAGCCATCTGCTGAAAGAGCAGTGGCCCATCTGCCTGAAATGTTGTACTCCTCATTGTTATGAAAAGCATCCACCACTGCTCGTCCCCATCTAATTAACTTCTCTTGCTGTGGAATGTGATAATACACAGCTTTGTTTATACACTTCCGAGAACTGTGGATTTATATGTATGGAACAAGTACATAAAAAGAGCCAATCTTTTTCTTCCCAACATCTGACTTACTCTTGAGATCACAGCTTCATTTGTCATGACTGGAGCGTGTCCCTTTGCAGAATGACGAGACGTGTTATAGTCTACTGTGAAACAACAGATTGTTTCTTACATCCCTGGGTTCCTCTAGTTCTAAAATCAGTATTCTGTTGTCCTGTATGCTTCTCTACTGATGTGACTGTAGCACTGCCACTTGCCAAAGATGGACTGAGAATACTGTAAACCCATGCAGATCACTGGACTTGAGATACACCACCATGAAGCTACTGAACCAGGAAAAGGATGCAGATGCTCTTGTGTACTCTGCTCAAGCATGCAGTAAACTCTTTTATTTAAGAGTTTGAGATAATTTTATTTCACAAATTTATTGCACACATATTATCTATCTTCTTCCATCTAGCAGGATGTAGTATACTTAGTAGCTATTTAATGAGTATTAAATGAGAAAGACATCATGTAAGAAACCACAGTGAAACTCTTAAATCTATTTAATAGCACGAAAGATATTTATGTGACTTTATAGAAAAATGGGCTACCTTTAGCAAACCTAAGTTTTTATAAATGTAGATCTTCAAGATAATTGATTCATTGAGTATCCAAGTAACCACTATTGTTGTTTTACCTTTGCTTCTGACATGTCTAATGAACATTAAACATTGAATAATAGAATATTCATGTTTCTTGTCTCTTCTGTAGTAGAAAAGACAAAAGGTAGCAAAAAGTAAAGATTTTTTTTTTTAATTTTGAGGATGTATGACTGAGTTGTACTGACACTGGAAATGTGCAAGGCCTTAGCATTTGTTTTGACTGGCAGAAGAATAGGTTAGGTGGCAGGGGCACAAACATAGTCAGACTGAATGTGAAGGCAAGTATATAGAACATTTCCTAAGTCAATTGTGGGCTTTGGTCCAAAATAATGATACACATACAAATAACCCGTTTCAGTCAGACTAGAATTAAGTGTGAGTCGAAGGTCTTTCGTCGACAAAGATGGGTCCTTACAAGAAAGGACGTAAATGAACTCCATGGGAACCTGAGCTTAAACAAAGGAGTAGAAACTTTGAGAAGCAAAATCTAATGCAAGATAATTCCACTAACCAGTTTGGTTTTCTCCTATGAAAACATGTTTTCCGTAGCTGCCAGAAGACCAACAAGGCAAAGTCTAGTTTGGTGAACAAAAAGAAAACTGAGATTATGAGATTAGTCCAGAACTCTTAATCCTCTTGTATAAATCTAGAAAAGTCTCCTGTCCAACTTCGTTTTTATATAGTTCTGCAATGCCTGCCAACCCGTGTTCCCCACTATCTTCTCTGGGTAAATCCCCACCATTAATATATAATCTCCTTTTCCCTCTCTTCACGAATAATGTGAAGTCATAGAAAGGCTAAACAGCCATGCTTTCTAATTAATCCTGGATTTGAGTCTTGTTGAAAGACTGGTGATAGAGAAGAACCCCCAGAAGCTTCCCCTCTATTTCAAAGAGAAGCATCAATGTGTCCTGTTTTACTATTGGTCTAATAGACATGTGTGAGTAGTAGCTGTTTTTTCAGTATTCGGGACAAAGTAATCAAATATTTATGAAAAACTCAGAGTCTTTATTATTATTATTATTATTATTATTATTATTTTGCTATTTCTTTTCACTCCCTGTCCTTGGCCAATATTTATCTTGAAAATACGAAGGGTACTTGAGCACCTGCTAGAATTGAGAAGCTGTTTGTTTACGACCACCACCAGCACCAGCAGCAGCAGCAGCGAGATCTAAGAACATTGATGGCATTTGATTCAGATTCTCTCTTAATCCTGGGGCTCACCCTGCTGCCCAGATCTCTTATGTTTATTCAGGAGACTATCAACATTTTCCCTTTTTTCCATTTGTCTCAGGTTTCCTACTTGGTAGACAAGGGCTCCATCCTCAGCTCTCAGTTTGACGTCCCATCAGGTCACTCATCCTAAGCATGATTCCTCTCCAGCTCAGGCAGGCTTGAAACTCATCATCCTTCTTGTCAGACATACATCAACATATATGTCTTGTGTGTCTCCATGTATGAGATGTATGTAGGTCCCTCCCCCGCTGTGTGTGTGTATGTGTGTGTATGCCAGAGATAGAGAAACAAAGAGAGACAGAGAAGGTGGAGAGAGAGAGAGAGAGAGAGAGAGAGAGAGAGAGAGAGAGAGAGAGAGAGAGAGCATCCTTGGGCATAGTTTTTCTGAGTGGGTCATTGAACAGAAAGAGGGTTCTGGTTATACAGCTATGAGCACTTCTGTATGGTGAAACACTTCAGCAGAGGAGGTCTTTATCTTGGTGGGTCTTATTTCCTTTTCAACATGCTTTCTACCTTGCCTGGAACTTCCTGGTGAGGCTAGACCACCTGGCAGTCAAGCAGTCCTGCCTGATGCCAGCTCCTCAGAACTGGGACTGTAAGCAAGCACCCTCACCCCTGGCTTCTGAAACAGTGCTGAAGCCCCTGCCCCTCTGCGCTGCTTTCATACCAAGCACTCTACTAACATAGCACTCTCCATTCCCCAACATTTTATTTTAACATCACCAACTCAACAAGAGCCATAGAGAGCACCCCCTCTGCTGAGGTGTTTCTCCATACAGATGTGCTCATAGCTGGATAACGAGAACCCCTCTTTGTATTCAAGGACATCAATCCCTTTGGTAATATAAGCTTAAATTCGTAATGAGTTCTTTGTTGCTAAAGGAATGTACCAGCTCATTGATTTTGTTTTATATTTAAACAAGAGCAAAGATGCAACAGAGATTTTTCTATAAACAGATGTAAGAAAGGAGCATATTAAAAGTCACACAGGGGTAACTGAGTTGATTTTGATTTTTGGAATCTGCACGTCACAGTGCGGTATGTACAGCTCTTATCACTGTGCTGGTATGTTCACTGTTGATGGAAATATTTGTCATGCTGGATGGACTCCAAGGCAGTCCTTTCATGAGACACGGATTAGCTACACTTTCACTGCCCCCACTGCACACTGACCCAGAAAAGGATCTCAGATTTAACACACGCTCTTATCCGAGGTCTTCGATACTGGCTATATGATTCCACACGATCATAATAAACAGTCACACCACAGCTCCTGTTGGAGGAGCACCAAGGGGGTTCTGTGTGGATTACTTTCTCATAGTCTCATATTCATTGAGAAGGATAAGCCATCCTGCACACAGTTGTTATGACTACCTTTGTTGGGTATCAGTGTTTGGGAACAGCAGTCTGACCTTATATTCTCCTAGATTTTGGAGAATTGAGAAACAATTCTTCCTGGCAGTTGGTGGAGGCCAGTATTTTCCTGCATGTTATTTGACTTTGGTTTATATTGGGTTGAGTGTAGTTTCTTCTTTGACATTTTATGACCTAAAAAGATTGTTCCTCATAAGTTTTCCTGAAAAATAACTTCTCTGGTCCATAACCGAATCTTCAGAAATCTAATTTTAACAGCTAGAAAAAAATTATAACAAGAAGATATGAAAAAATACAGAGCCTTCCAACGTAAAAGTCTACATAGCACAAAAATAGAAGAAAAGAACAATAATTTAATCTTTGAACTGTTGTTAAGTGACTCATAAACTTAAGTTGTAAATCACCTCTGTCTTCAAAACCATCATTATCATCTTCAGTCTCACAGTTCTCTTTGTGACTAGATGTGTTAATCCACCAGACAACTTGACCAGCATGGGTTAGATTGGAAAAGTTTGTGAAGTATTAAACATCATGATTTTAAATAGAGCTAGTTGCGGCAATGTGGAGATTGAAAACCAGTGTTCTGCGTGTGAACCAATCATACCCTGACTGGCATATATACAAGTACTGAGATAGCTAGGATATGCTGAGTTATCCCTGGCACTATCCATGAGTGTTGATGCTGCATGACACACTGTGCGCTAAGCTCTGTGGCTTGGAATGATTCAGGTGACTCTGTTTCATGGTCTCCTTTGCTGAGAGCTTATCCTTGTTTCCCATAAGTAATCAATCTTGTTTCCCAGTAACTGTGTCTAAAGGTACTGCTAGTTTGACTATGAAGCAGACTCTAAGAAGGCAACTCTCAAATGTCTTAATTTGAAAGTCGAATGTAAGCCCATGACTTGATGCCTTGTGCTTGGTATTAATTTTATGCCGGACTGAAGGAGCTGGCACAAGGGTGAGCTGATGTGATCTAATCTAGCCACCACGACCCTCTTATTTCTATACCTGTCCTGAAAGCCCTAACTTTTGTTTGATCTCTTTGCAGGCTGTGGAGTGGGAGTGTGATGACGCTACCAAGAAGGCCTGTTACAGCAAGGGCAAATCGAAGGTAAGGACAGAGCAGTGTACAGATCCCCCACCATGCACTGAGGATTGATATCATATCTGGTTCCCTGCAAAGTGAGGTGTATGTGAAGAGGATATGTTTCATATTTCAAAATTCAGTGGAAATGAGTCACAATAAACAGGCATTTCACAGAGGGACAGAAAGCAAGCTGAGACCTAACTTGTACTTTGAACCACTATATAAGATTCAAAATGAACTGTAACATTGTTAGAAAATATAGACAGTTATTTTCAACTAGTATTTAATATGCCTCTTCTGTATTTTGTAGTTAACTACAGAAAGTAGTTGAATACTTGTATTATCTTGTGTTTTGCAGCACCAGGAGTGTAGGGCCTTGTATATACCAAACAAATATTGGGCATTTGCTCAATAAATCATTGCATCAAAATTACGGGAGGTATATTCTTGATGGTCTGCTCTGTCTCCATCAGAGCTCAAGTCTACATTCCCAAACTCTCATGCACAGAGCACTGAGAGTTGAAGATGGGCGTCCACTCCCATGTTCACATGCAGACCTCTCACACAACTAGCGTTTGGTAACATGCACAGAACTTTATCTTTCCAGGAACTCCGTCTGTCTTTAGAAAAAGAGTCTTTTGTTTCCTGAGGAAATTGTCCTACAGCGGTTCCACAGGTTAATTGCCTTCGTTCTGTCAGAGGCTCTACCTCTCCAGTGCTGATGGCACTTTGGTTCATGGGGAAATGTGGGTACATGCAGAGGGGCAGAGTTGCATGAGGACCGATCCAGCAAAGAGAGTGAGCGGTAGCAAGAGGTTCTCATCTGTGTGTCAATGAGTAAGATGCTTTGTCTTTTCCTCCGCTTATAGTGCTTGCTTCCTGCCCCTTAGGAGAATGGTTCTGAGATGATGAAAATCTTAGGGACAGAAGAAAAAGTAATGGTAATAAATCATAAACTTAGCCAGGGTAGAATACATGGATATAGAAAGGGAGGGAGGGAGGGAGGGAGGGCGCGAGGGAGGGAGGGAGGGAGGGAGGGAGGAAGAGAGGGATGAGAGAGAGAATTAGAAAAAGGAGGCAGAGGAGAAGGGAGACGGAGTAGTGGAAAGAATCTAGAAATTGATAGACACTGCTTATCAAAGGATATTTAATCATCAGAAAACCTCTGAGCTACATCATTAAAAATTTACCAAACTATACTAGTAGCTCCAGGTTGCAAAGAACCAGAATATGAAATACTCCCAAATAAATGGGTGTATAATGGTATAAATAAAACATACCTTACGACTCTCTAACTTGATTAGTGAGTTTTATAAACCATAGCGATGCTTGGAGATATGAGTTCTAGGTGGCCAAGGCCTCCCTGCGATGTTGAGGCTCCATACAGTGGATGTGTCATAGAACTGGTATTTATCTCCACTAGCCAGGTTTTCAGAGCATGAACCATTCTCTTATGTGACTTTTCCTGAGGAGTCATGAACCAACATCTCCCAAACCTCAGGGAGTGGGGTCATGAACCTTGGAAGCTTCCTGAATCTTGCATGTTATCATCTTCCTCTTACCAGGGAAGGTTGTTGTCCTGAGGGGATGGGCACCTTTTCCTAAAGTTCTTATAGGTTTCCCTTAAACCCTGTATCCGAAGCAATAAACTGAGGCAGGTAGGCTCCATGGGGAGGGGATAGTGATAGAGAAAGTCACTGTTCACTGGTGGACACACTGGACTTCCTTGCCATGGTTTCAGCTTTAATACAGTGCTTTGCATGGTGACACCATCACCTTCTAGAAGGCCTGGGCACTGGCTGGTAACCTAGGTAAACATTCTCTTCCTTTGGGTTGTTCCTTTTTTTCCCTCTCTTTCCTTTTTATCTTCACTTTGATTTTGGCGACTTTCTCTTACTTCTTAACTTCTGTGTCTTAGATTTGTGCCAGTAATCAGATACCTTGCAGTGGATTTTGATGACATGTCACTGAGTCTGTGTCTGTAAATGTGGATTTTGGTTTAGATTTTGTTAACCTCAGACTCTCCTCAGGACTCAGGAGAACCCTATTCTCCCCTGAGAATTCTCTCCTGTCAGTCCCCTATTTCCACGACCACTCTTCCTGGCCTGCCTGGCTCAACTCTTAGTGCACAACTTTGATGCCCCATAAGTTATCAGTCTTGTAAATCCCTGTGGTCATCTGTCTTTGCCCTGTCAAGCTTTGTTACTCATCCAGCCCTGGACCATGAGCTGTGCCAATGGTTTCTTTATGGCTCTGGTGCCTTGCTGCAGCCCTTTGGCACACAGGGTAGAAGTTAGCAATACTATATGAGTAAATTAACACAGTAAGATTACTATTCAGCTTATCACCTGCACCACTTTTCACGATGGGGAAGATGTCTTTTTGAGGGGACATCCTTTCATACAGTAGGTTTAGCAGCTTGCCTTCCTGTGCCCACAATGCCATGACAACCCAAAATAACCAAATTTGCTCCAGATGTTTTTGGAGGAATCTGTTCTTTCATTTATTCAATATATACAAATCAGAATTTTTTGCATTGTCCATTTTTTTCCTGTCCCCTGAAGTATTTTCTATTGCACCAGGAATTTATTTACATATTTAGCGCACAAACTTTCAAAAACTGCTAATAGTTAATTCTATTCTTCCTGGATCTAATTCACTATGTGGCCCTTGTGATTTAGAAAACAACATCAAGACCTGTTGAGGCACGGGTTTCTGGGTGTCTCTGCAGCATAGTCTACAAGCCTTAATCAAAGCATTCAGCTAGTTTTCATTTTCTAGTGCATTATTGCTACTTATGGAAATTGCACAACTGTACCCACCAGTCCATGTTTCACCTCCAGCTGTGACCTATGGTTAACTTTGTATTTAGAAATTAAATAAATTTGTTAGAATAGTAACATTTATGCCTAGTAGGTAATATACCCCTGATCCAATGAAGGGACGAATTGTCAATACACTAAATTAAGTTTTGCTAATACAAATCAGGAAAATGAGGAAAACAAATGCACTTACATCAAGTCATTGTATTATATTTCACAGATTTAGGTTTTAATAGATTAAGAATAATGGCAAATTTTGGTAATTACGTGAATTCTAACTGTGTGTGTTGGATCTTTAAGACATATATTAAAACAAATGAAGATACATTTCATACACTATATATTATGTGCAAGATCAATTATACTTTATTTTAGGGTACATTAAGTATAATGATGAATTTGTCTAGAGTTTTAAAAAGCAATGTTCCATTGAAACCGAATTTAGTTCATGCAACTGCTTGTTGAGTTTACTCCTGCCTATGATTCTAATTCCTGAAGAGGCTGAGTTAGGCACATTAGAGTCCCTGGGAGATTTGGGACATCCTGGTATAAAAGTAACACCCCAAACAAAACCAAAATAGAACAAAACCAAAAAATCAGAAAGTGGGTAAGATAGGAACTCATGATTACAGACTAAGGTGGTAGCCTCATTAACATGTTAGAATAAATAGCATTGTAGCCTGGTCCGGGAAGTGATAGCAAAGGATGCCTTATCTCCCTACCCAAAAAAGTATTTTCCTTTGTTCACATCTCTTTTTCTTCCCACAAATGTGCACTGGAATGATTACTATCCAGTGAGGAACCCAAGCCTAGTACCCGGGACACATAATAGAAAGAAAGTAGGACAATGTCTAAGAACTGGAGAAAGCATACCAAGAGTGCTTTCAATGGGCAGACTCTGAATTCAGATGTCAGACATCCCAAAGATCTCCAGGCTGACAGATGCTAGAATATGAGACAAGTAATGTTTCCATTTGTCTAAAATATAGGGTCTCTTTTGAGGAATGGAATTTAGGCTTTTCTTAGTGGTCATGAATTTATAAGGAAAATTCAAATACTTTAATAAATTTGCTTGTGCCGTAGTATTCTGAGAATGTGCACAGAATTACAAAGTCTCCCTTCTCCCTGTAATAAAAAGAACAATGTGAAAATGTGACATTTTAAAAATGCAAAAAATGCAAGCGTTTTGACTGAGCTCAGTTTGTTCCTAGTCTCCTGAGAAGTTGTGTGTGCTATATGGCCCAGCCACTAAGATATGATGTCTGGAAGGAGGTGGCTGAGCCTGCAGGGGGCTACTGCCTGCACCCACTTCTCCTCTAGTGAGAACATTCCTCAACTGGCTGCTGAGCTCAGGATAATAAATATGACAACTTTTCTCCCTGGGCATTGCTGGGTCAAGTGCAAGCAACCTTCCATGTAGTAGGGCATGGGATTTATAGCCTAGGGAGTCAAGTTCATGAGAAGCTACCCAAATCTTTGATTAAGGCTTGCAAGGAAATTAGATGCTGAGATTTCAGATTCTGAATAAGGTTGGAGCTTTAACTTACTTCTAGATTTTTCCACTCACTATGGCTCCTGTGCTCTAAGTATCCACATGCATTAAAGTGGGGGAAAGAATCCATCTTTACTGATGCAAAAAAAAAAGCAGCATAACAAGATCCATTGCATTTCATTGTCTTTGAAATACGTGTTATTGAAATCAAACTGTAGAACTCTTTAAATACATTTCATATAAATATTATTTTAGACACAAATAGCTGATTGTCTCAGCGTCTAACAAGAGTGCCTTGTTTGTTGCCGGTTCTTGTGTCTGGACACAGCTGCCTCCCCCGTGGCATTTAGGGACTACACAAAGGAAACATAAAGTAATTATTAAGGGAATGAAAGAGTTGCTTTGTGTTTTTATGACATTTCATAATTTTCAAAATGTTCTTGTTCATGATCTCATTTCAGTATTTTTGACACTAAGTTCTTAGAGTTATTGTGTTAATCGGTGGGAGAATTTGGACTAGAATCCAAGGCTCTGTGTATTGTTATTCTTTTTGTGTCCAGTGGTCCTGCTTCCTAGGCTGCCAAAGTATGCTTTTAAAGATCCCAACTCCTAGTGGCTAAGAAAAGAAAGACATGTGGCCTTCTGCATTGGTGCATGGTGCTTAAGGGCTGGAGCTTGACGTTTTTACCTAAAATGCTGATGTTTGGAAT